TTGGAAATAACTGTCTAGAGACAGCAGTCATGCCCACAATGCTATTGCAGTTTTAGAAATGCAAATGTTCACTTTGAATTAGTATTACATAAATATAAGTTAGCATAATATGAGTATTAGAATGTGTGCCTCTAGGTTAAAACATTGATCAAATAAACAGAAGTTGTCCAGAGAAATGGACAAGAGACAGACAGCAGTATTGCTAAATCTGACTTGGATTACAATATTGTTAGTCTCAGCAAGATTGCCCATATTCTGCAACATAAAATAAACCTCAACAAATTTAAAAGAATTGATATCATACAAAGTATAGTTACTGCAGAAGAATTAAACTAGAAATCCTAAAGAACTATCTCTGGAAAATCCCCAAATATTTGGAAATTAAACAAGAAATAATTCATGAGTGAAAGAGGAAGTCACAAAGGAAATTAGAAAATAGTTTGAATTGAACGAAAATGAAAACAAAGTACCAAAAATTGGGGGATGCAATAGTCAATATCATACCCATTGAGGACAAAGCAAGGGTGTTTTCCTGCACCACTCCTATTCAGAATTGTACAGGTAGTCCTAACCAGTGAGTTAAGGCAATAAAAAGAAATAAAAAGTCTACAAATTAGAAAAGAAGAAGTAAAATCGTTTCTGTTTACAGAAGAAATTATGAGAAATCCTACAAGAAAGTTGTTAGAACACTCAGAGAGTTTTGGAAAGTCATAATATTCAATAAACAAAGTCAATAATATTTCTTTATATGGCAGTAAACAAGTGGAAACTGAATTTCAAAGAAAAACTTACCAAAAACAATATGACCAAAAACATTTTAAATATTTAGGTGTAAATCTAACCAAAGATGTCTTAGATCTGACTCTTGAAAATTAGACAAACACAGATATTAAATAAAATCTAGAAAAATTGAGAACTACATCTTGTTTATGGATTGGAAGACTAAAGAGTGTTAAGATGTTAATTCTCTCCAAATGGATCTATAGATTCAAAACAATCCCAATAAAATTTCCAACAGGTTGGTTTTTGTTGTTGTTGTTTTGTTTTTTGTTTTTTAAAGATTTTATTTATTCATTTGACAGAAATACATAGACAAAGCATAAGCAGGGGCAGGAGAGGCAGAGGGAGAAGGAGAAGCAGGCTCCCCACTGAGCTGGGAGCCGGACAGAAGGCTTGATCCCAGGACTTGTAGATCATGGCCTAAGCCAAAGGAGACGCTTAACCAACTGAGCTACCCAGGCGCCCCTTTCCATGTAGATTTTAAAATCATATTGTTGATTTGTACAAAACAACCTGTTAGGGGCACCTGGGTGGCTCAGATGGTTAAGTGTCTGCCTTTGGCTCAGGTCATGATCTCCAGGTCCTGGGATCAAGCCTCTCCTCAGCGGGGAGACTGCTTCCTCTCCCTCTGACCCTCTTCTCGGCTTTGGCTTTCTCTCTCTATCTCAAATAAATAAATAAAATCTTGGAACAAAGTTAGAAGACATATGCTACCTGATTTCCAGACTGATTATAGAGCCACAGTAATCAGAACAGTGTGGTATTGACAAAAGGATAAGCATACAGGTGGACTGAACTAGACAGAGTGTACAATCAAGTGATTTTCAGTGAAATAGCAAAGACAATACAATGGGAAAGGACAGTTTTTTCATCAGATGATCCTGGAACAAACAGACATTCACTTGCTAAAAAAAATTTTAAAAGTACCATATTAACAAATTCACATGACATAGATCATACACCTAGATTTAAATTAAAACTGTCCTGCATCATCCTCCTTCTCCCTCTCTTACCCCTACCTTATGCTCTTCCCCTCTCTTCAAATAAATAAATAAAATCTTTAAAAAATAAATCAAAACTATGAAACTTATTTTTTAAAGATTTTTTTCTATTATTTATTCATTTGAGAGGGAGAGAGAAAGTGAGAGCACAAGCAGAAGAAGAGGCAGAGGGAGAGGAAGAAGCAGACTCCCCTCAGAGCTGGGAACCTGACATGGGGCTCAGTCCCAGGACCTGGAGATCATGACCTGAGCCAAAGACAGACACTTAACCTCCTGAGCCACCCATGCACCCAAAACTATGAACTTCATAAGGAAAACAGAAAAGAAAATCTTTGTGACCTTGGATGAGGCAAAGATTACTTAGATACACAAAAAGCATGATCCACAAAAGAAAAAACTGATAAATTGAGAATTCATAAAAAATGTTTCAATTATTCACTTTGAAAAAAAAACAGAATACTATCATGAAAATGAAAGAACAACCCACTAGCTTGAAAATATATACAAAACGTATATCTAATAAAGGATTTGTGGCTAAAATATATAAAGAACTCTCAAAACTCAATAATAAGAAAACATCTGACCCAAATTATTGAAATAAGCAAGACACTGAACAAACACTTCAACAAAGAACCTATATGAATAGCAAATAAACAAATGAAAGTATGCTTGATATCATTATTCCTTAGGGAAATGCAAATTAAAACCATAATGAGCCATTATCACCTATTCAAATGGGTAAAATATAGGAAAAAAGGAAACTAGCAATACCAAATGCTATGGAAAATATGGAGGAACTGGAACTCTCATCTACTGCTAGTGGGGATGCAAATTTATTCAATCCCTCTAAAAATCAGTTTGGTAATTTCTTACATATACTCAGCATATGACTAAGCAATCTCAAGAGAAATTAACTCAAGATGAATGCAGATATAAGTATACACAAAAATTTGCATGTGAATATTTATAATAGCTTTGTTCATAATCATCTCCATCTTCAGCTGATAAATTATTTTAAATTATTTTTTAAAAAATTTATTTATTTATTTATTTTAGAGAAAGAGAGAGAGAGAGAGAGTGCACAGGGGGAGGGGTAGAGGGAGAGAGGGGTGAGAGAATCAATAACAAGCAGACTCCATGCTGAGCGTGGAGTCCATCACAGGGCTCAATCTCACAACCCTGAGATCACTACCTGAGCCGAAACCAAGAGCTGGACACTTAAGTGACTGCTCCACCCAAGTGCCTCTGATAAATGATTTTAAAACTGTGATATATCCATATAATAAAGTTGTATTTGACAATCAGAAGAAATAAATTTCTGGTATACATAACAACATGGATGAATATCAAATGACTATGCTAAGATTTACAGAGGTACTAAGGCTACGTGGTATGTGATTACATATACGACATTCTGGAAAGAGCAAACTCTAGGGACAGAAAATGTATCAGTGGTTTCCAGGAGCTGAGGAAAGAGTTGACTGCAAAGTACAAAGGGACACAAGGCCATTTTTTATGGAGAGGAATGTTCTGTATCTTGATTGTGGTGACTTCCATGACTGTACGCAATTGTCAAAACTTATAAAACTGTAAACTAAAACAGGTAATTTCTCCTGCACATAAATTTGACTTTAATTTTTAAAAGCTGTTTTCTGGGGGAAAAATCCAGTAAATCTCAGAGCCAAGTAAATGAGAAAAAAAATCTTACACGGAAGCACGGCGACTTAATCTGGGATGAAAGGAACCTAAAGAACAGGTTTCCAGAAGAAGATGAAACCAATTGAAGGCTAAGTTGTCTATGAAAAACAGCTTAGGAGTCGTCGGGAGAATACAGAGTGTCTCAAGAACTGGTAATAATCCACCAGCTGCTCAAGAGCTGAAGAACTGCATCGCTGAGAGCGGAAGGCAGAACCCTAAGGCACACGCCCATCTGTTCCCTGGCGAACACACCCGGTTTAATCTCCTCTACGTGAGTGTGGGTGGAACTAGTAAACTTCGGGAAGCAGACGCTGTGCTGAGTGGAGCCCATCTCGGGGCTGGATCTCATGACCCGGAGATCATGACCTGAGCCGAAATCAAGACTCAAACCAACTGAGTCACCCATGCACCCCAGGTCAGCGTTAGCCCTCACTAAATGGAAAGTGCTGGGAACTGCCCAGTGTTGGGTGGCGAGGGCATGGAGCAAAGACCCCAAGGGCAGCCTGTAGGAGCTGAAAGTGTCTCCAGCAGGGAAGCCGAGACGGGATTCTGTCAACAACCAGTGATCTTTTGCCAATGAAGGATCTTGGAAAGGGCGATCATCTGCAAACCTCGAGTGAGATCTGAGATCCCACCCCGGCTAATGTCTTGATTTCAGTCTTGGAAGACTCTTAAGCAGAGAACACGTGCCTGGATGGCTGACCTAGAGAAACTGAGATGATAAATGTGTGTTGGCCTAAACCACTGAGTTTGGGGTGATTCTACCACCTAGCAATAGAAAACCAATTTGAAGAGTGAATTAAAATGTGTCAAGCTAGTTTAATCAGAAAATGCTTTTGCGATTTTGACTCCAACAGTTCCTCACCGAGTAGTGGGCTAGTTTTAATGATACATTGAACCCAAAAGCATCACAGAAGGTCATATCATAGAAGAGGGAAGACCAAGGGGATGACATTTTTAGAGGATACTCTCCCATGGTTCTGTCCAGTGCAGGCCAAGAAAGCCCCAGTACAGACTGGTGGAGGGGCCTTCTGTTGGAGGCTCTTTGATTTTGGCTCATTGCACTTGGTAACTCATTGTCCCACAGACTTCCCTTCTCCATTTCCAGGCCGTGACTGCAGCCACCCCTGCACCAATACTGTCCTCTCTGGACCGGACACTCTCCCACAGGTCTCTAGGGCCAACGGTGACATCCAAACCGGAAACATGTCAGCACTCACTGGACTTTCTTAACAGTCACTGTTAACACACTCATCTGTGAGGCTAGTCATCAGGAAATAACCACTCAGCTTTATAACCATAAAAGAAAGCATGAATCATTCCTGAAGCCTCTTTCCGTATATGTGATAACAGAAAGAGGGTTTTTTTCTCCGCTCAAACAATATTATTTTAATTTTAGCTTGCAGTATCTTGCAAATTTAAAAAATGACATTCTTTGTTTTTACCAGATTATCAATTCTTTAATTCTAGAAAGTTCTTTATTCTAAACGTTATAAAATGAAAACGGAATTAAGAACTTACCCTGTAACTTTTTAGTCTGATGAAATCAACCTTCATAGAGACAAATCTGTCTGAATTTCGACTGATGTTCTTAAGGTGTTCTACAAGATCGGCACAGAACTTGTAACCTCCTTTAAGCACACACAGAATCATAATGTCACAGTATCCTATGTCTTTCATAATATCCTTAGCCAGCCGTTCAGTTCTGAAAGAGGGATTAAAAGATATATTAAGGCATAAGTACTTCTGAGTATTTTTTTTCCCTTTCAAAAAAAGGCATGATGCATTACCCATATTAGATTACACAGGGGATCGTGGAGGAGAGCTTGGGCGACAGAAGCCTACAGATAAAGCAGCTTTGTTAAAACTGGACAAAGAGAGAGTGTTCGAAACATTATTTCTGATAACCATATCATCCCTCGTATATTTTTGCTCCTCGGTGTCACAAACACGGGTAAGGTGTAAAATACGTGTCAAAGATCACGAATGCTATTATTTTATCACTGCAGAGCCTGGTTGTTAACAATGCTATGAAAGTACCTGGTGATGTTATGCCCACGTCATAGCAAAGACATGGAGAATGACTCACCTTACAGCGTTAGAAGAGACTAGAAGAAAAGTCAAGCCCACAGAAACTATCAAAAGAATCACCTCTGTCTTCTATTTGACAAAGATAGCACATTACCTATGTGAAAGGAGCTCAGGGTACAATTCCGGTGGGCACCATTTCCAGGGCGCATCATGCGAATGATGACTTCCTGGAGCTAGACAACACTGCAGCCTCGGGCTGGCACCCAAAGCCTGATTTGGAACTGTCACTGTATTTTTTCTAATTGTTTCATGTCCAGAAGTCCATTGCCAACGCATCCATGAAACATTAAAACCTTGAATGGAGGCAGGAGCTAAGGTGCATATTTAAAAAAATTCCTACTGGCACTTCAGATAGAATTAGATTTAAAATGTGATAAATGAATGATCTGAATATATATATATATATATATATATACACACACACACACACACACACACACACACACACATACACACACACACACACACATATATATACACACACATATATATGTATATGTATCTACATCTGTATCTATAAAGCATTATATTACATATGTTCCACATATCTCATATATTGCCTAATATATTTTATATGTAAGTTATATATGTGTGTATACGCATACATATGTATAAACTTATACATATTAAATGGCAACCATGGTTTCAGACAATGTTTCTCAAAACATGCTCATTGAGAAAAGGGACATCAGCCTGCCAGATAGATAGTCTACAAAAAGGGACATTTGTTTTCAGCATAACAGAGTGAGATAGTCAACACATTTCGCTCCACAAAAAAGTAACTATAAAGCTAGATAAAACTGTCGAAAACAACCATTTCAGCACTCTGGAAGTTAACCAGAGACATATAACAAACTGAGAATCATTTACTCCTGAAAATACTGAACTATGGGTAGAAACAGGACAAGTCTGTGACATCCTTGCCAGAGAGTGCTCCTGTCTCCCTGCACCCCACATCAGCTCCGTTGTTCAACTAAGTTGTTAAACCAGGGCGGGCACTGCCAGAAGGAGCTCCCCTCATAGGAAGCATTGCCAGTTAGCATGGCTATCTTGGTAGCCGGTAAACAGGGAGAGCCAATGGCCCTATTATTGTGAAGTTGCAGTCCTGTTTGAGCAACTAGCAGACTAGTCTAGTTGGGGATTTGATAGGGAGTTCTGGGAGGTTAGCGTCAGGGGAGAGGGACAGACAATACACTCTTCATATATACCAAGTTGACCAGAAGCTATGCATATGCTCAGCAGAGACCAGCTACCCATACATTCCTGAATGATGGAGCCTGTAAGCTTTCTTGGACACAAGGAAGCACAAGAAACAATAGAAGAAACAATAAAAGTCAGGGAAGACTTGGAAAGGCTAGGAATTTGAAAGTGCTTGCCAGCCCCCCACACACATTTGTCAGCAGAAAGTGGAAGCTCAGTGGGTTTGAGGGTACAATCTCTAATCAATCTTAGACTGAAGACTAAACTATTCAGACACAGGGGTGAGTCCTACTAAGTGAGGCTTACAAGTAACAACAAGAAAAATAAACTGCATATTATCGGAGGCCACATACCATGGGGGTGGGGAGATGGGACAGATTCCACAGAGTGGAAGACAAAAAAAACCACACCCCAACAACCCAAAAACCAAAGAACAAGGGCAATGAACAGAAAATAATTACAAATATGGTAGATATTAAACAAACTACATCAATAATCACTTTAAATGTGAATGATCTAAATATACCAATCAAAAGACAGAGACTGTCTTTTTTTTTTTTTTTTTTTCAAAAAAAGACCCTAACATATGTTGTCTATAAATATAAAGATACTGATAGATTGAAAGTGAAAGAATGGAGAAGGACATACCATATCAACACTAATCCAAAGAAAGGAGGAGTAGCTTACTGCTTTCAGACAAAGTAGATTTCAGAGCAAGGAAATTAACAGGAATAAAGAGGGCATTATATACTAATAAACAGGTTAATTTGCCAAGAAGACCTAGCAATCCTTAATCTGCATGCACCTAACAACAGAGTGTCAAAAAACTGACAAAACTATAAGAAATAAATAAATCCATTACTGCAGTTGGAGATCTCAATACCCCTCTCTCAGTCATTGACAGATCCTGCAGTCAGAAAACCACTAAGGATATAGTTGAACCACACAGCACCATCACTCAACTGGACCTAATTAGCATTTATAGAATACTTTATCTAACATTCTTCTTGAAAGATACAGATAAGAAAATAAAAAGACAAGCCACAGATGGTGGGTGGTGTATTCAAAAATCATATATCTGGTAAAGGACTTATATCCAGAATATATAAAGAACACTTACAACTCAGTAGGAAGACAAACAACCCACCCAGTGTAAAAATGGCAGAAGACGTCAATGGTCATCTCTTCAAAGAAAACATAAATAACTAAGAAGCACACTAAACAATAGGAAAACACAAATTAAAAACACAACGAGATACTTTCATACATCCATGAGCATGGCTATAGTCAAAAGTACAGATGATACTAAATGTTGGTAACCATGTGGAGAAACTGGGATCCTCATCCTTGCTGGAGAAATGTAAAATGGTACAGCCACTCTGGAAATAATTGGCAGTTTCTTAAACTTAACCATGAAACCCAGAATACCACTCCAAGGAAACCACCCAAGAGAAATGAACAGGTATATCCACACAAAGACTTACATGCGAATTTTTATAGATGCATTGTTCACAGTAGCCCCAAATTCAACATCCAAATAACCACTGATTGGTAAATCAGTATCTAGATATGGTATGATTTAATTTATATGAAGTGTTCAGAAAAGACAAATTTATAGAGAAATGAATCAGACTAGTGACTGCCTGATGCTGGAAGTAGGAATAGGGACTGACAGCAAACAAACTTTTGGGGATGATAGAAATACTGTAAAATGATGGTTGTGCTTGCCCTACCATAAACATTTACTAGACGTCATTGAATCATTGACCTACAGTGGGTGAATTTTGTAGCATGTAAATTACACTTAATAAATTCATTCCTGGGCCCCACCCCAGACCACTGAATCAGAATTTCCAGATATAAAAAGCATAAGAATACACATTTTATGGGTTGCCTGGGTGTCTCAATGGATTCTGCATCTGACTCTTGGTTTTGACTCAGGTCATGATCTTGGGGTCATGGGATCGAGCCCCACACGGGGCTCCGCACTCAGCACAGACTTGCTGTCCCTCTCCCTTTGCTTCTCCTCTCTCTCCCTCTCATGAATAAATAAAAGCTTACAAAAAAAAAACCACATTTTAACAAGTTCACTGGTTAAGTCTCCTGTACTGGGAACTGGCTTCGTGTAGTCTTAGCAGGACCCAATCATGTACTAGATCAGGACACAATTAACTAAAGTCATAAAATGCAGGTGAGAAAAGCAGGAATTTTTTTTAAACCAGGGGGTTCCCAAATTGGTGTTAAGGGGAAAATGCCTCTGAGTTATTAAGAGGTACGCTGAATGCAGACTCCACTGCACAAGAAAAGTTGGTTTAATTGTTAAAGTCAAGCCGGTTTCTTCTTTTTTTTTTTTGCAGGAATTTCTGTATCTTCAATATAAATCACTAACAGGGGGATCCGGCCATCTGAGAGGTGCAAAATTTCCCAAGTTTCTTTGATCACAGAACATTTTGTTCCCTCTGAGGATTGCAACTTGTATTCCATGGAAAGCCATCTTAGGCCATGAGAAACTCCAAACTAGACCTTATTTTAATAATATACTATCATTTGAGAGGACGTGCAATATCCCAGTCTTATCCAATGGAAAAATCTTGGAGTGAAAGAACATTTCCTTTTGCTATGGACAGGAATTGATAAAAAGATAATATCCTGGGAATAGTGACTATCTAGTGTTTTCCAAACTTCACTTTGGCTAAGGACTTGTTTCATAAAGTTAAATATTAACTCAGAAGGATATAACAGATTTTCAAAAAATAGGGGCAGAAATATGATGGTTTAAGAACAAAAGGTAGCATGGAGTTTCCAAAGTTTCGATCTGCTCCTACTCCCCAGTGCCTCTCCTGCCCCCATTTCTGGGTGTCTAAAGAGTCTCTGTGTTCCTGGGAGTGCACTGTGAGGCTTGCTTTCCATGTAAATGTGAAGGCTTAAGTATTTGATCTTTGTACAAGAAAACAGAGAAGTACATGGAATGATTATAGTCTGGGCATTAGGCAGTTTTGTGAAAGGGGTAAGACCTTTAAATCCTGATGCTTAGGGTGGGCTCAAGTGAAGGATGCTCTCTGAAAACCAAGAAACAAATGGTGACTTAAGGGCTTACAACAGGCGAGAAAATGTTGGCTTTTAGAAAGCCAGTTGGCTAAGAAGAGCTAAAGCATCTCTATATAGACGGGTCAGAGAGACCTAGAAATAGTGTTCTAGAAATAGTTCTATGCAGATATTTTTAAGTTGAAAATAGGCCTATTCCCAAAACATTACCACTGCCTGGAAACCATAATCGGGCACAGACTGGCCGATCTGTGATACACTGGTTGATCCGAGATATGTGCCAAGTTGCAGGAAAAGCCAGGGCTGCAGGGGTGTGTCCCGTGAAGGCAAAGTTCACCTGTTAATTATCCCTTGTTAACTCAAGCGTCTGTGAAAAATGCAAGACAAGGTCCTCAGGTAAACAGCAATGCTTTCCCAAACGCTGTTTTTATCAGTTTGTGCAGAATATTGTTATTTTGAGGCTGTTATGTATAATAACATATATATATATATATATATATATATACACACGTGTGTGTGTGTTTGTGTGTGTGTGTGTGTATGCACAGAACTTAAAAATATCGGCACAAGGGGTGGCTGGATGGCTCAGTTGGTTAAGCAACTGCCTTCAGCTCAGATCATGATCCAGGATTCCCAGGATCGAGTCCCGCATTGGGCTCCCAGCTCCATGGGCAGTCTGCTTCTCCCTCTGACCTTCTCCCCTCTCATGCTCTCTCTCTCTCTCTCAAATAGATAAATAAAAATCTTAAAAAAAAAAAAAAAGAATTCCCATATACCCTTAAAAAAATATATCGGGGTTGGGGCGCCTGAGTGGCTCAGTGGGTTAAAGCCTCTGCCTTCAGCTCAGGTCATGATCCCAGAGTCCTGGGATCGAGCCCCGCATCGGGCTCTCTGCTCAGCAGGGAGCCTGCTTCCCTTCTTCTCTCTGCCTGCCTCTCTGCCTACCTGTGATCTCTGTCTGTCAAATAAATAAATAAAATCTTTTAAAAAAAATATATCGGGGCTCCTGGGTGGCTCAGTGGGTTAAAGCCTCTGCCTTTGGCTCAGGTCATGATCCCAGAGTCCTGGGATTGAGCCCCACATCGGGCTTTCCGTTCAGCGGGGAGCCTGCTTCCTCCTCTTTCTCTGGCTGCCTTTCCGCCTACTTGTGATATCCGTCTGACAAATTAAAAAATATATATATCGACACAGAACTATTTCTAGAAAGACTCAGGAATAGCGTTGTAAAGTGTATTATATGATTCCCACAAGAGGGGGCCAGCCAGGGCAGGACCAAGACTAACACAAGAAATAACACTCACCTGTCCACAATGATGCCGTGAGGTATGAGGACATATTCCAAATCCCCATAATAGTGCTGTGGGTATGTGAATAAATTCAAGTCATATCCTGGCCAATCGTCCATAATCTGTAAGTCAAATTACCTTGGTTACAATATTTTCCTTGTTAACATAAATAAGTAAAAAATGGGCATCATTTGAAAAAAAAAGAATAACATTAAAAACAGAGATGAGATCTGATGATCAATATGACATTAGATTACATTCTGTCAACCTGTGAAGAGCCCAGTGGGGGAAAGTAATTTGTTTCACAAAACCTGGTAAAGGATCTAGGAGTGAAAGGAACAGAGAATTCCACTCCTAACTTTTGGCATCGTACAAAGAAATATCCACTTGATGTCTTACAGCCAGTCTAATAGTATTGTTTTAATGGTTGTAATATCTAAATTATATAGCATATCTAATATAATATCTAAATTATATAGCATAGTGAATATAAGTAACACTATGTTCATAAGAATATTGGACTTATGGACTTATAAATGTGGATAGTCTGATCATACATTATTATAAATGTTATTACATATGCTATTAAATTTCTATGCATTGTAAAAACCTCACCTGCCTGGGAAAGATTACCTATTAAAGTACATGTATCCTGGGATTAGTGTGTAGACACAACCTCTGGGTGGTCTAGTCATTACAGTAAACACTTCAGAATGATATACGATGGTGGGAACTTCTGTCAGTCCTATCGGGAAAAACTGTTCCAAAAAATTGGCCTATTCATGTAGGGAATAGAGTACTACCCAGTCTTCCTCTTGCTTAGCATTGGATGTGAAAGTTTTATGGTTAGAACAGCAAAGATGTGGGAGAGAAAATGAAGGTGAAGAGTGAGTTACTTTTACTTTCAGATCACTGAGAAAGGATACACTAGGGAAGTGTTAGCACTCAACTCATTCCACGGCCGTCTTGCGGGTTCCTGTTCTTTGATGACTCCTGCACACTTCCATCAGACTCCTTTATTCAACCTGAAGCTTTCATCATGCAGAGCTACCCTAATTTTCCAGCCCAGTTCCCTACATCATCACCTTCCCATCCTCAGACGGGTCTTCAGTCCAGTCATGACCTTTCCCAGCTGTGTGTCCTGTTCGTTTGTCTTTCTTGCACCTATATCCTTTCCTTCTCTCTCTCTCTCTCTCTCTCTCTCTCTCTCTCTCTGTATCCCAAGTTCAACCCCCTCCCGCAGAAGCTCAGGTCAGTCCTCACTTATTTCTGGAGGTCTTGCTACCTGCTCCTACCCTCTGATCTTCTCTCCCAAACTCCTCACAGACAGGACCGTCGTAGCTCTCTGTCTTTCCAAAGACTCCCATTCAGGCTCCTTGAGAAGACTCCTGCCTCCTCCAGCCTCTGGCTCACTGGTTCTTATCTGTAATAGAACCCATTTGCCCTTCATTTAATTCTGGCATGTCCCCCAGCTCTCCGCCCTTTTCCTCACCCAGGACTCAAAACCTTAGCTCAGGTTTTGGAAGGGCAATTTATGGTCCAATCCCCACCCAGACCCACCCCAGTTCTGGGTTCTGGAATGCCAGCCAAACCAAACCTAAGGGCATTTTCTTCCAAATGTATCCCTTCCCTATCTCAGCAAAGGGCAACATATTTTTTTACTAACTCAGATCAAAATGTTGGAGTTGTTGTCGACTTCTTCCTTTCATTCCCTCATGTAACGCATTGGCAAATCCTATCATCAATTCCTTCAAAATTTAACCAGGATCACCTGTCAGCATCCCAACTGCTACCTCCCAGTCTGCACCACCATCATTTCTGCAGGGATCACTGCCATAGCTGTCAGACTTGCCTCCCTGCCTTCCACCCTGGCACCCCCACCCCATTCCAACATGGCTGCCATCTTCTACTCGTCTTCTTTCAGGGGCTTCCCACTTCTCTCCGAGAACTACCCAGAGTCCTCACCATGGCCCACGGGGGCCACCTCTCTGACTCATCTACAAGCATTCTCTTCCTCCTTTGCCGTGCGTCAGCCACGTTCTTCTTGCTGAGCCTTGAACATGCCAGGCATGCTCCTATCTCAACAGCTTTGCACCTGCTCTATCTCTTGCCTACGATATTCTTCCCCCAGATTTCTACATGGCTTACACTTCACTTCTTCAAGCCCTGACTTCAATGTCACCTCCACAGAGAGGACTTAGCTGATCCCCTATAGAAAATAGCACCCCCTTTCTTTCCTACTCATCTCTATATCCCTCTTCCCCAGCTTTACTTTCCTTCCCAGCATGTGTTCCCACTGGATGCGACACATGTATGTCTCTCTGTGTGCTCTTGTCTTGTCTCCTCCCACTAGAACGTCAGGGCCTTCTGACAGGGACCATGTCTGAGTCACTCTTGAAACCCTGGCACTCAGAACACTGATCTGGAATACAATAAGTGCTCAAAAATGCTCAGTGGGTTAATGACTGACACATTCTCCAACCACAGACTACCCAATACTACCTGAGCTCCAGCCCAAACTGATTTGTCTCGATTTGCCTCCTTACATCAAGAGCACCACGGCTCAAGGCTCTAGAAATCTACCAGGGGCAGACTGTTGGCCAAATGGCGTGTGCCATCTGCATATTTGAAAAGTATCACATAAGCTCTGCCTCTATCTGCAAATTGGCTCGGTGCAACTATTGAATTTGCACAGAGCAACTCTCTTTTCCGGCCCTGAGACCTCCCTGGGCCTGCTGTAACCATTGACACCACCATCCCCTGTCAGAGTCTGAACGCTGGCTGGACGTGAGGCGCCTGCTGAAGATCCCTAGGCAAGCCCCGGTAGAGGCCAGACAAGAACCCCAACCAGCATGAGGCCCCCGGGAGATCATTCAAGTACATGGCATTTTCTGGCTCCCCTTCCAGACCACACACACACACACTCCCCACTCCCCTTCCTGGAGCCCTTCCAGGTGGTGGCATCATTAACTAGTGGTCTTCTGAGCCCATTCTTCCTACATGCAAATCCTTTACTGCCCTGCCCCCAACCCCCCACTGCCGGCCCCCACGGCTCTGGCTACACCTCAGAGCCTACATTCCTCTCTGTGTTCTAGAGCTTAGCGCTGACCCTTACTGGCTGTGATTCTAGGGAAAGTACTCACCCTGCTGGATACTCAGTTTCCTCCTCCTTTAAATAAGACACAATAAAACCTATGGTCAGGCTTGGTGTGAGGATTCAGAGAGAACAGCGAGTCTCCAAAGCAGGCAGGAATAACCCCATTTTGAGGAGCTGCTGCAAGGAAGCTGCATCTATGGTGCTCCCCCACCCCCCCGGATTCAGGTATTGACGCCCTAACCCCCCATGGTGATGACATGAGGGGGTGGGGCCTTTGGGAAATAATTAAGTCATGAGAGTGGAGCCCTCATGATGGAATTAGTGCTATTACAAGAAAAAAACAGGGAGTTCTCCAGCACAGATGCGCACTCGCTCGCTCTCTTTTTTCTCTCTCCCCTGTCCCTCTCCCCACTTCCTCTCTCTCTCTTCCCCCACCATGTGAGGACACAATAAGAAGAACAAGGCAGTTATCTATAAGCCAGCAAAAGAGTCCTAACCACGAATGAAATCAACCAGCACATTGATCTTGGACTTGCAAGTTCCAGAAGTATCAGAAATACATGTCTATTGTTTAAAAACAAACAAAACGGAAGAGAGAGAGAGAGAGAGAGAGATAATTTACTTAGAGCTCCTAGGACATTTCCTGATGTATAATAAGTGCCTAGTAACTGATGTCAAAAAGAAGAAAAGAATGATAAGCAAATGGCAAAAATCAACCTATTGATAAGAGCCATCATGGTAACCTGTCATCAGAGGTGGCCTGGCACAGTGGTCAAGCACCCAGACTTAGAAATCCAGTGCATGTTGGGAGGGGGGCTTATAGTGTTGGACTTCACTTGGGGCTTTAGCTCTCTGTGCCTCAGTGTGTTCATCTATAAAATGGAGTCACTGCCAGTCATTCACGGCTATTGTGAGGATTCAGTGAGATATATCACGGAAATAAAACTCTCACATCGTCCTCTAGTCTATAGGGTTAACCATCTAGGTGTGCTGAAACATCACGAGTTAACCTGCAAATTAAAGGTCTTAATTAATTTACATTACAGAATTAATTTCAGAATCAATTAATACAGAATTAATTTACAAATAGGCCTCCAACCTATTTGCCAATGTCTTGTTACCCTAGTTAAAGTTACACATTTAAAACTAGAAGAAATACATTTCTCTAAAACTATTCTGTAATCCAAACTTGCCTTTTCCAATGAGTTTGAAATAGTGAGTTTTCCTTGTTGAGATAAAAAGACGATTAGAGATAAACTACTGGTTTTTAAAAAACAGGTCTTAGCAGGGATGTGGGGAAAAAGGAACCCTCGTGCACTGCTTGTGGGAATGCAAACTGGGGCAGCCACTGTGCAAAGCAGGATGGAGGTTCTGCAAAATATTAAAAATAGAACCACCCTACGATCCAGAAATCACACTACTGCGTACTTACGCCCCCAAATACAAAAACACTAATTCAAAGGAATACAGACACCCCAATATTTATTGCAGTATTATCTACAAAAGCCAAACTAGGGGGGCAGACCAAGTATCTATCGACAGATGAACATATAAAGGTGTGGTGTATATATAGAGAGGAATATTACTCAGCCATTAAAAAGAGTGAAATCTCGCCATTTGCAACAACACGGATGGAACTAGAGAGTATTATGTTAGGTGAAGTAAGTCAGAGGAAGACAAATACCACATGATCTCACTCATACATGGAATTTAAGAAATAAAACAAAGATGCAAAGGAAAAATACAGAAAGAGACAAGTCAAGACACAGACTTTAATTCTGGAGAACAAATGCTGGTTACCAGGCAGGAAGTAGGGGGGGTGAAACAGGCGATGGGGATTAAAGAGTACATTTATCATGGAGAAGAAAAAGTAATTTTTTTTTTTTTAGAGGGAAGCTACTGGTTTACTCCTTGTAATTCTTAATGGTGCATGCAAATTGCATTGCAAATAAGTCCTAAAGCTAAAGGAACAGAGGCTGCTATGAACTGTAGATAATTATGTTATTCATCTGCTTTTTAAAAAATCAAAACAAGAAATCTTTAAATAGTTTCAGTATCACAGATAATATGCTCTAAGTTTAGTCAGAACAATGCTTTCTCTGTCCAAAGACACAAAGCATGGCTAGGCTGGGGAAGTGACAAACACATTAACTGAGCCATTTTATACAAAATTCAAACCCGAGAACTCATTCAGTATCTCTTTTTTCCCATTTGAAGGTGTATTGAAAACCTGCATTCTAAGCCATTACAAATAATTTTTTTGCTTAGTATATTTCTTGCACCATTTTTCAGGTCCTCCAAACCCCCAGAGAGAAAAGTAGTTTGGAAACACATACAAAAAGCAAATCCCTGCTCCTCTCTGCCTCTGAGCCCCACAGGCTGGGCCCCACTCTCTCCTTCAGGCAGTGACCATGGGTGCTGACAATTTTCAGGCTTACATCTACCCCTCGACCGTCAGGGAGGAAAAGAGCCTCCTCCCTCAGCTCTGCTCCAGGAATCCCTACACTGGAACATCAAACATCGACTGGCCCAGGCAAAGAGGCATGCTGTGATGGGCGCCTCAAACCACACACTGAGACCATGTGTAGAAGCGGATCCCGAAAAGAGGGGCTCCAGATTCTGCTCCCAGAGAAATAAAGACCTATAAAGACCAAATGACACCTTGTTATCACACAAGCCTTCCTCTTCTGTGGCACCCAACCTGGTAAAGTTGGGTTTTAAAAGGATTATCTGATTACTTATCTCCAATACTGCCCCAATACTTTGGCAGGGGGAGACCCAAAAGAGAAACACAACAATTATTTTAGATTTTATTTTCTTCTTCTTCCTTCCAAACTCACTACATAGGTATTAGCTATGATTCTCTTGACAGTGGTTTGGCAGAAACAAAACATATCTAAGAACCTGGTCCCAAAAGGCCAGGTGAGTAGAGATCTTTATCTCTCCCTAAATGGGAACAAAGATGTGCTAATCACGGGCTGGTGATTTCACTGCCTCCAGATCAAGGGACCACTCAATCCTGAGCAAAGTTTCTGAATTCTGGGTCTACAACTCTTTTTTGGCAATGAGCATTTCCTACCGCTTACTGTTAAGAATCTACTAATGTCCTACCTCCCCGATTCAACAGAGAGCCATTTGTAGGCAACAGCCATCTTAAATCTCTTAATAGTCCCTTCTTTAGCACCAACCGTACTTCTTGTTTTATGCTTATGTCCTCTGGCTCTATGCAACCCACCCCCCCCCCGCCCATCTTCTTCACAAAGTTCCTACCAACTCGGAATTTTCTTCTGCACCTCATTCCTGGACAGCCCCGAACCTGCCTCCATCATCCTACTAGACACTATAACCAGTGGCTCCTTCACCTGCCTTAACCCAAACTACTTCATCGTCCTGCCACATCCCATCTTCTAAAGCAGTCCCACCTTCAAAGGACTTCCTGCAATTACAGCTTTCTACATGGCACCGTAAGTAAACCCTGACTTCAATTCTGCTTCTGTCATTTGCTAGTTATGTGACCTTGAGGATTTTCTTAATGTCTCAGGGCCTCCGTTTCCCCCTCTGTAAAGCGGAGATCATTATAGTCCTCCCTCACGGATTTGCAAGGAGTTAATGAATAATACAGGGAAACCACATAGTAAGTGCTCAGTAAACGCTCGCTATCATTACCTGCTCCCTTTCTCCACTGGTACTAAACCTACCCTTTGGTTTTTTTGCAGCCATCCTTGAGGGCTCTCTCTTTTCCCTGTATAGGTATCTTCTTAAGCTTTGCTTTTCATTTCTACCCTGGAAGCCATGGGCTTCCCCAGAACGCTGAACTCGCTCTGAATTTGCCTTCCCTACCTGTATCCAGCTTGAGTTCCTCTGACGATGCCAAGCTCTACCGGAGAAAATAGCATAAATGCGGGGGTCATCCCCATGACACATTATTTCCAACCTCTCATGAGGTCCTCTCACTGCCTCACACCGTCTTTCTCACAAAATTACCTTGCTTCTCAGAGCGTTTCTTTTGATACTAATAGATTGGGCTATTTATACTCTCCCATAATTCGCTTTTTAGATTTCAACAATCCGCCCATCTTATTAGTCATATCAATTTACCTAATTCCTTTCTAAGAGCATATATTATTAAAGAGTAGTGCTATACTGTAGCCATTCTACTGATGGGATGGTTGTTTCAATGATTCTCAAGGCTAATGGCTTTGCAATTGTTAAATACAATGGCCTCTTTTCCATCTTTGTCCTATTTGCTCTTCCTGGAGCATCTGCAGCTCTTAAGGGGCCCTCTCGCCCCTCCACAAAACTCCCTTCCCTAGACGCCTACCACCCTGTCTGTCCTCTTGGGCTTTGCTATTCATTCTCGGTCTCTTTATCCGACTTCTGCTGGGCACTCTTACATATGGGGATTTTCAAGTTTCTACCCATAACAGCAGTTTATAATTTTTTTACCCCATTTTCCTGGTGCCTTCCTCTCCAAGCCAAGCATCAGATATTTTTCTATTTTCTGAAGACTTCCAAGTCTATCCAATCACTCTCCTCAATTGCAAATATGAATTTGCACCTGTAGTACATCTTGACCTGGAGGCCTTAGAGACTCAAGAACTGAACTTATTTCCCTTGTTATATTTTCATTTGTCCCCATCCCCCACCCCTAGGTCTGACTATTCTCTCCATGGCAACTGGAGTGATTTTTTTTGTTTTTTTTAAGCATAAATTGGGTGTGAGGATTTCTTCTCAGGATACAATGATTTCTTTGCAATCAGTGTGCCCTGTACCTCTTCTTCCAAGTGTTCATATGGCTACTGCCTACTCACCCCTCAGGTCATGTTTCAAATATCACTGCCAAGAGGGCTTCCTGACCACTTGAGTAAAAACAGCATGGCTCTGTGCCACAGCTCTCCTCCAATCACTCTGTACCTCATCACTCTTTTCTTTTCACTGCACACATCACTATGCAAAATTATCTTCTTTATTTGCTTGTCTATGTCCCTTCTCTAGAATGGAAGCCCAGTGGAGGCAGAGCTTTGTCTGGTTCCCTGCTCTATCTGCAGAGCCTAGAACACCAGTCGGAAACCCAGCAGGACAGTCAACAGGTGTAGAATGAATAAATGAATGAATTCCTTATTCTTGAAGACAGAAATTTTTGGCTGATAAATTGAGAACTGAGCAACACATTTCAACCGATGAGTTCTGAGTGTGTGGTGTTTCCTTCCTCAAATCGCAGACTTCAAATCCCATACTCAAGCAATCCATGCATAATCACAGACAGGTTCTCTGAGAATACCACAGATCTCTGAAGAAAGAAGTGTTAATGCAGCAAGTCAGCCCCACTCTCCACCCTCACCCCTGCTCACACACCTGACACAGTAATAACCACCGCCTTCTATATAGAAACCATTCATAGACAGGAGCCAGGAGCAGAGGCCAGTGGCCACAGGGCAAGAACGGATTTGATTCCAGGACACTGACAAATAGGTACCCTCTGATTGACTCTTTGAGGGATTCCCAGGAATAAAGAGGCTCTGGTCTGGGAACCCATCATCCCACATCTTCCCATCCGGACACACTACTAGATAGATATTTTATAAAATCTTTCCAATTCGCTCAAAGGGTCAAGGCCGCAGCGTCTCCCTTTTGCTGACAAGGAGACTGACTCCCCAGAGGCTTTAGCCTGTGTCGATCTTCTGCAAAGACCCCAGGATCCCAGCCCACGTTACAAAGCTCAAAGTCCGTCCATTTGAGCAACTTTAATTCCTAGCTGCCCTCGAGAAGCTTCAGGATCCTTCTGGAAAACAAAACTGGAAGCCTGCGCTGGAGGGGTGAGAGGAAGCACAAAGGGAGGGAGGCCCCCACCAGTAGCGCGCGAGGGTCTTCACCGCCCCGCCCCGCTCCCAAAGGTGACCCGTCCTCGCTAGCCGGAGTGGGGACCCGGCCCCACACAGGCTGAGCGCCGGAGCATCCGACTCCTGGCCCGGGCGGGTAGGGAGGGGCGCGGAGTGGGCGGGGGGGACACTGAGAACACGGGGTGAAGGGCTGTTGAGTGTCGGGGCAGGTCGCGCGCGGGGAGGGGCGGCTGGGAAGAGAGCAGGGAGGCCATCCGCTCCGGGACGGGAGAACAAAGCAGGGGCCCGCCCGCATTTCACGCGAATGCATTTCAGGCATTTAATCGAAAAGGAGGGTGCCAAGGAGGGAGGGGAGGGGAGAGAGCGGGGAGCGCACGACTCAGCCCAGAAATCGGGAGTTTGCATTTACCACGACGCCTCGCCCGTAGTCTGGCGCCTCCTCGCTGCTCCCGGCCATGTTTCTCCCGGGGAAAGCGGGAAGGAAAGGAGGGCTCGGGAAGGAGCTGGGAGGGGGGTGGGGCTGCGGGGGGACGGGGCTGGGGACGGGGACGGGGACAGGGACGCGGACAGGGACGGGGCCGCCCCGCCCCGGGCCAGCCGGCGGGGAAGGCCCGCGCGCCGCGGACCCCTCGCCTGGCGCGGCTCCAGCGGCTCGGCCGCGGCGTCCCCCCCCGGCCGGCCCTCCCCTCCCCGGCGGGTCCCGGGGCGCGGGCGGCCATGCGGGCCCGGAGCGCGGGGCGGACGGCGCGGGGCGCAGCTGCCGAGCCGCGCGCGCTCCACCTGAGCGCAGGCCCGGGGCGCGTCCCTCGCGGCCGCCGCCCGCCCGTCTGCGAGCCCCGGAGCCCCGGAGCCCCGGAGCCCCGCCGCCTGGCTGCTTCCCGCTGGGACTCGGGAGGACAAGGCTGCCCCGCGGCTGGAATTTTACAGCAACAGAAAGTGTTCCCATGGCCCCCGCCTCCCTAAGGCTGTGTGGTCCGCGGCTTTCAGGCGAACAATGTCTTTGAATTCTTCTTGCTAATTTTTATGCGCTCTTTATCCCGACTAAAATCCGTGGAAGAGTCTGCGATATGGGATGTTCTCGAAGGACGGCTGTGGACGAAACTCTCCTGAGTGTGTGTGTGTGTGTGTGTGTGTGTGTGTGTGTGTTTAAACCGTCGAAACGCCCATCCCGGGTTTGGAAAGAGCCCCGTGATGGCTTTTCCCAGCCGAAGCCCGCAGTTTAGGATCTGGAATCTGAAATAGGGCCTTTCTTTACCCGTATTCGGGGGCCGGGGGGGGGGGGGCAGCGAGCGAGGGGAGAGAAATTTTTACAAATTATCTACTTTACCACTTTTTTGAGACCCTATGGCCAGACTTTAATGGTTTCGGGTTGCAGTTTAAAGCGATCGCTCTCAGACTCGAAAGCCTCTTTTATGAAGCTTTTGTTCATTGAACCCCTCGTCCCAGGCTTCTCCCCACAGAGTGTGCGGGTTCTTTGTCCGTTCCTCTAGGGACCCGCTTTCCTTGCCTCTATCCTCGTTCTGCTCGCTGCTGTCCCGTCGCATTCTTTGCAGCCCCGTTCTGGGCTTGAATGCCCGGAGCTGAACACGGTTCTCGGGGTCAGGCCTCTCTCTCCAAAAGGCTATTTTGTTCATGTCTGGGTTTTGGCGCACGGCAGGGAGAGGAATGCAGATTTTGCTTGGCTTAAGGGGAAAATAGTCATCGATCGGTTAATGTCGCTCTAGGTTGGAAAATTATTCGTCGTTCGGACGTGGCGGCGCTCAGCACTGTTGTTGACGCCCCCAGATGCCAGCGCACTGCAAGGAAGACGGCTCCGTGGCTCGCAGACACGAGGCACCGCGCTGGGCACTGGGCGATACTGTTTCCTGGCGTGTAGGTAAACGTGTCGCTCGTCCTTGTCAGAGGTCCGTGTTCAGGGCCGTTTTTATCGTCTGCCTCTCACCTCTTTTCCCAAAGGTGAGAAAGCCCGTCCTGCACTGACGTATCATAGACCAAACCCAGGAAATATCTTCACAACCACCGTCACTAAAACTTCCAGAAACTGAGAAGTACTTTCCCTGTGCTGTGGTCAGACTGTAGAGTTCCCAACACTCGCTGGGGAGCTGCTTTAACCCTACCCGCAGGTTATGGGGAGAAGTCATGGGGCGGGACGTGGAAATCCGTGCTACCAAGACACAAAGATGAGCCAAAGGCAGGTGGTTCTCGAAGCACGCTGTAAAGTATCCCACTTTATCTCTTACTGCTGCAAAATCAAACTTACCCCTAGGAGGCTCACTGTGGGTCATGGGTCAGTCAGATCAGGGGCAAGAGGCCTCAAAATAAATGAGAGGTGTAGCTTTTAAACAGAAATCAAAAAGGGCCCAGCTCAGGCACTGTGGAAGATGAAAGAGAAACTCTGGGTGAATCCTTCCTTAGAAAGCCATTAATTTAAATGCAGAACCAAGTGGGGTCACAATGAAAAAATATAACTTGCTTGGATGGCAACAGGAATCTTATGAATGTATGCTCAAGAACATTCTGTATAGACCTGTATAGGACATCCTAAGAAGACCACACAATGATGAACAATTTTTAAAAATTTTAATAATTCATTTTATTTAAACCAATATGGGAAAAATATCACTTCAACATTTATCGATGTCTATTCATTTTTTTCCATAATAGATCTTTTAAATCTAGTGTGTTTTATGCTTATAGCATATCTCAGTTTAAAGTAGCCACATTTAAAGGTTTTCAGTGGCCACCTATGGTTAGTTAGTGTTTCCCATACTTGGGTGTTGCAAATCTAGAGTACTTTAGAATTTACTGCATTGACTTAAAGACCTTGGGAGTGAAAGGAACTAAAGACGAAAAGGATGAGATTTCAAAGAACTTGGTAGAAATTATACTAGCAATACAAAAGTTGACACCAACTATTTGGAGTTTTGTTCTAGTTTTGTTTTTTTTTTTTTTAAGATTTTATTTATTTATTTGCCAGACAGAAATCACAAGTAGACAGTGGTGGGGCGGGGGTAGGGGTGGATGCAGGCTCCCTGCTGAGCAGAGAGCCCAATGCGAGGCTCCATCCCAGGACCCCGAGATCATGACCTGAGCTGAAGGCAGAGGCTTTAACCCACTGAGCCACCCAGGCACCCCTGTTCTAGTTTTTTAATATACTTGTTTTTTTTTTTTTTTAACAAATCATTTTTAAAAGTAAATTTATTATCTTGTCATATTTGGATAACGTTTTGTGTGATCTAATTATACTTCAGTACTTTGGGCAGCATTAAGGTAACACTAAGTAATACTTGATATCACAAATAGTAATTGCAAGGACAAATATCCAAGAATAACAACTCATCTGGCCAGGCTTAATTCTTAATCTTGAATTATGAGAATTTAGGGGCAAAAATTCTTTTAAAATCTCAACTTTCTGTTATGTGTCTAGTGGGATAGCTTTGCACTAGAATTCTGATTTTTTTTTTTCTTTTTAGTGATAATCCTTATCATCTTAGCCAGTGAGGCTAAGCCAAATACCCCAATCTAATATGCCACAATTTTCTCATCTATAAAAAGGGACAATACCTTGCTGCTCTGTTGCATATAATGATGAGAATAACATAACAGGCAACAGAATCCTTAGAAAAATCCCATGAAACTGTAAGGTGCTATTAATCTGAGATATCATGAAAATGTATGAGCAAATGCTTGTAAAGTTAGTTGATCAGAAAATGACAGGGTAATTGCCTTTTTAAAATGAGTGTGGAGGGGCGCCTGGGTGGCTCAGTGGGTTAAAGCCTCTGCCTTCAGCTCGGGTCATGATCTCAGGGTCCTGGGATCGAGCCCCGCATCGGTATCTCCGCTCAACAGGGAGCCTGCTTCCTCCTCTCTCTCTCTCTCTGCCTGCCTCTCTGCCTACTTGTGATCTGTCTGTCAAATAAAAAAAATAAATAAATAAAATGGGTGTGGGGTGCCTGGGTAGCTCAGTGGGTGAAAGCGTCTGCCTTCAGCTTAAGTCATGATCCCAGGGTCCTAGGATCGAGCCCCACATCAGGCTCTCTGCTCAGCAGGGAGCCTGCTTCCTCCTCTCTCTCTGCCTGCCTGTCTGCCTACTTGTGATCTCTGTCTGTCAGATAAATAAATAAATAAATCTTTAAAAGTAAAATAAAATAAAATGGGTGTGATGGACCAATCAGGAGCAGTTACAGTCTAGAGACAAGTTGGGGTTGGTATGAGAATTTATAAGGAAAATGAGAAAATTAGTAAAATAATGTAATTTTCCACACAAAAAAAGGGGTATTTTAGCTCAGACTGTCCATTTTCTGATATTTCTTTAAAGGAGATGTAAGAATAAAAATGTACCTCTTTGCTAAGTTAATAACCAAAAATATACTTTAGTTTTTCAGTCATTCCCCATATCACATTTTAGTTGTAGATTCCCTGCATTTTATTTCATTTGGGGGGGGGGGTATTTGTTTTAGAGAGAGAGAGGGATAGTGTACACAACAAGTGGGAGGAGCAGAAAGAGAGGAGAATCCTCGAGCTGACTACCCTCTGAGTGAGGACCGCAATGCAAGGCTCAGTCCTAGGACCCCAAGATCTTGACCTGAGCAGAAACCACGAGTCAACCCCTTAACTGACCGAGCCACCCAGGAGCCCCAAGATTCCCTGCATTTTAAATTCTGAGATTATCACGTGTCACTACTATGGTGTAATCACAAATATTTATACTTACCTGAATTCTCCACCACACCAAAACACTTTTGTCCTAAAAATGCGTACTGATTTTTTTTGACACTCTAGTAGCTTTTAAACTTTTGACCATACTAATCTGTTACTGAAGGAGCATTTCAATCTGTGTGTTGAGTTGCTTGGAGTCTGTCACTCAGTAACACTGGATTCAAAAATAACAGAAAGGCATTTATTTTTTCTCAGCCCTGAAACATGAAAAAAAAAATAAAAAAACCTCTCAGCCTGGGAATTGTGTTGAAATACATAAACATATGAAACTTAGTGACTCAGATTGTTAGTCACAGAGTCACTGGTTAGAGTCTGGATGAAATCCACTGTGGACAAAGGCCAGTAATAATGATGATGATATTTTGCTTTTCCCTAGTACTGAACAAAACCCTTTACAAATGTAACAAGTACAGAAGAAAGAGTGGCAAGATACTTTCTTCCAAATATTCAGGCTAAGTGAGAATCTTGCTACCGTTGAGGTAGTTTGGCCCCTGCTGGTACATACGTACAGAAGAAATATAGTTGCAAATAATTGTAACACAAAACAACTTACACCAAAGCCTCATTAGTATTCAATTAGCATAGTAAGCCCTCTTTTACCGCCTCTTGTTTGAAGCAGGATCCAATGTGTAGTCTTAGAATAAAGGAAATAATGGCTCCATAGTAGTTCTTACAAATAAAGCCAGGAGCTACATTAAGAATTATGTTTTGTATTATTACACTTTCATTAGTAATTAACCTTCCACTGAAGAACACACGATGGGTAGACTT